AACCATAGCTTTGACATAACATTATAAATTCATTATTGATTTGATTATTTATGCCTTGCTATGTTCTATGATACATAACAAATGCTGAAGGCTTCATCATATGTAATATGGTAATATATAAATCTATAATATAAATAAGTTAAGAGCTAAGACCCTTGATCTACCTAGTTACGCCTAGTAAAAGTCCTAGTTACTTCTTACTAAGTTCTTCATAATAGTAGTTACTAGTTAAGTTACAACTTACGAGATAGATTTAGATATAAAGATTCTAGATCTAGATCAGTATTCACTTAATATTAACTATTTCAGTATCTAGATAATCTAGATAGATAATCTAATAGATTCTAGATCTACTACTAGATCTACTCTGTTAGTCATGATTTTATAGCATTTTTCTCCCTACATGTTATTTAAGACATAATTCAATCTACAATTCAATTGCAAATACTAAAAAGAACGTTCAGTAGCTAGATTGTCCACATGATCTATTAGTAGAGGTAGATCTAGTCTAGTTAGATCAAGTTTATTTAATATAGATGATACTTATATTGTACTTAAAGTAGGAAACGGAAATGTATGCCAAAGGGAGATAATTGCTTTACCCTACCTTTTTGTTCCAATTCATTTTATTACCTTTCTTTATTAAAAAATTTTTTTTATCAAAATCGGAATGATGGAACAAATTACTTTTTTAGGTGAAAAGGCGGGACGGTTCCAATTTTGGCGGGATGGTAGCCATGTCTGTAAATCTTTCATGTAATCCATAAATGTGAGCTCTCTGTATAACCCTTTCCCCGGCAACATATTTGGTACCCTGTCCCCGGCAACTGGGTGGATCACACCCAAAGACTTTCTTATAGTAAATTCTTTTCTTTGTTCATTGTGGGGTGGGTAACAATACTGACACAGTTAAGGTATTCAGGGCATTGTGGCCATGGGGAACACAAGACATGTTGTTGTCAATGGGAGAGCTGTAATATGATACTACAGGTTGATGGGATTCTCAAGCAAGAGTTAACCTGTGGGTGGACACATGTAGTGATTTATACTCTTTGCTGGAGCTCTGACTTGCAGTTACAGACAGAACTGTAGTTTAGAGTTACAATATGTTAATGAAATGCAGGGGTAAGATTGCCTGTGGGAGGACCTATATGGTGATTTGTACTCTTTTAGGGAGCTCTGGAATGTAGATACAGTCGAGCATTTTAGTGTAACTTGACATTAACCTCATTAGGAGTACAAATGAGGACACAAAGGCAAAATAACTTTGAAAGTTGATACTGGGTAATGAATTGATCAAACTGGGAGTTGGGTGGGTGTTCTACAGGTTGTGACCTTGAGAGTAAGGTTTATAAATAGCCATAAACATTATTGAGAACACAACAGAAACAAGTCTTGAATGCTTTTGTCTAAACTCAAGGCTAATGATAAAGGAATATATTTGCCAGTTTTGGTATAGCAGGTGAAAATTACCAACAAGTTTTGAGTCTGAATTATCAGTATCAGAGGTAGAAGATGAAGAATTGCAGCCATCAGTATCAGAGGTAGAAGATAATCCTGGTTCAGTTTCAACCAGCTCTGATGACAAGGTCTACCCAATATACTGCATTTCAACTATCAATAATGTGTCAGCAGTTGGCACACATAATGAAATGAAACTGATGGTGCAAAGTGAAGAAAAAGAAATATTTTCAGGAAAGACAAAGTAACAGTACACTAGACCACTGCCTGAAGTGCTAATCCCAGGAAATTTATAAACAGCCTGACCCTAAATATTTCTTCTGTACATGAATACAAAAAATAATACAACCAATATTTGACTGCATTAGCAGGGATGGAGAGAAAGCAAGAGAAGACACTGGCACTCTGCAGAATAACAATTTAGTTGTATGTCAATTTAGTTCTAATTATTTAAGTTTTTGAAGGCAGAATTTTCTATGAAGAGATTCAGCAACCTGAATAATAACAGTCCATCAGGCTCATGGTATATTTGCTTCCATTATGGTAGATATTCCATACAAATTTAGCAGGGTGTTATGTTTCTGGACAGATCATTACTAATTGGGCAACTGGTTGAATTTAGAGATGGGAGTAGATTTATCCAATACATACCAAGCAATTCCGATAAGTATGGAATTAAAATATTTAGGGCATGTGACTAATGTAACACCACTAAAAGGGTGCCTATATTTTATCAAAGAATACTAAAGTTCCCTACCAGCAAAAGGAAATATCCAGTTATTTTAATTTTAACTAACAACTGTGCTCTCTGAGGTGCAAATTATTAGAACGTGTTACTGTTCTATTATTTTATTACTAAAGTTGATTACTTCAATCCTGTTTGATATTTTTGTTACTCAAATACCTTCAGATTGTTAATTTATAGTTAAACTTTGAAAATTTAACACAATGACTTAACCCACAATGAGTAAAAACAAATATTTAGAAGCCAGTTTATAAGTTATAAATATTTTTTCCATTCAAAATTGTGTACGGGTGTGTAAAACCCAGTTGCCAGGGACCGTATAAAAAAATTTCAAACCCTCATAAAAATTTTTTTTACGCATATTTTTAAAATTTACAACCTCCAATGTGTTCATCCCAACCACCTTATAGATAGGAATGAGGCCCAGAAAAATTTATAAAACGAGACTCGAGATATGAACAAAAATATAGCGACTTCGGGTCGATTACACCCAGTCGCCGGGGAAAGGGATAATTTGCATATATTCAAGCTTGGTTTTGCATTGTAGCCAGGCTTGAATGCTCATCACATGTGTATAAATGCCTTTTTTTATTACTTTCTCGTATATACGAAGTATAGAGAAAGTCTTGTAATCGTGCACAAAAATCACATGAAATTTTGACAGTTTTCACCTCTTTACACCTCAGTCCATCACATCTGGAGTATAGAGGACTTTTTTTAATCGGGCAAAAATTATAAATCCAGATATATCAAAATTTTGGTGTTTTATGCGTAATCGAGTCTGAAAAACTGGGCTTTGTAATTTTGTTTGTATGTCTGTGTGTGTGTGTAAACATGATAACTTGAGTACCGTTACAGCTAGGTTGATGAAATTTCATATATAAGTATTTTATCAAAATCGTAGATCCGTATCAACTTTTGAGCGATTTCTGATAACCGGAAGTGGAACTTTTTCTACTTTGAATTTTTCAAAAGCCTATAACTTGAGTACTATTTCAGATAGATAAATGAAATTTCACAAGTAAGTAAAAGATCCAATTCTCTACCTCCTATCAAATTTTGAGTAATTTCCGTTGATCGGAAGTAGTAATTTACGCTATTTCTGATTTCTCAAAAAAAAACGCATGTAAATTTATAAAGCACTGTTAATATTCCGCACTAATATGCATATTTTGTTTTGGCGATCGCTTGGTGCGCAATTCTTTTTTCTACAAGATTCTATTCTATTTTAAAAGTTTAAGTAATTAAAAATCATGTCTATATTCCGGGTTGCCATCCCATGTAGTGTTATATAAGAATATTCGAGAAAGTTTAGGGGAGATGACTCCTGGTTTATTCTACTTCAAATCTATATCTTGGCATCACCTTATCGACATATAAAACATGGAGAGCAAGTTTCGTAGACTAGTAGTCTTAAAGTTCATAAATACATTGTATCTCATCACAAGTTTCATTCTCAAAAAAACTTCAGATGTCTTGCAAATGAATTTGAAAAGGAATCACTTACTGTTTACTATTATCAATAATCAGAGCTACCAAACACTCATTTCACTCAACAAGGTTTTTATATGCCAAATAACATTGGAATCTTCATTACAATCAACATCTACTGTAAATGTCCCATAACCATAGCCAATAACTTGTATTTGAAAGTGTGTTTTCAGAATCCTCTAGTTCAAATCAATATCTTACTTCAGTCTCCTTTTTCAAATCTCACGAGGACGTTTGATTGTCCTCAAGAATTGAAATGCCCCAGTCTCACCCCTCATTTTCATCATGAAATTTTGAATCAAATTTAATCAGTGTGTACATATTAAAGTAGCCTACATAATGATATCTGAATTTTTACTAACTTTCAGGCTTAAAAGCCTAGTAATTCAAAATCAGCTCAACACTGTAGCTCATTCTTACTAGAAAATAGTTGTGCAGAATAAAACACTTTTTAATTTTGAATAACATTGTACAAAAACCATATAAGATGGATGAAATATCTTGACCTTCTGTGAATGGGTACAATTTTGGCAACATTTAGGACAATTTTCAGTAAGATATTACATGTGGTAAAAAAATGGAAACATAATATGTTGCCTATAGCATACATTTTCTTTTGGAAAATATGGGGGTATACCACAATTTATGCCTAGATATCATAAAATAAAATGCTTTTATCAGTTTTATCAATGGGTAGGCCCTATAGGCCTATATTAAATTATATAATAATCTTTGCAGTCACTGTCTTAGTGGCATATAAACAAGGTAATCGAAAATCAGCTTAGGGTTGAAATTATTTTTAGCAAAAAAGTAGTTGCGCAGAATAAATATTATTAAATAGGCCCCTATGACTTTTTAATTTTGACAAACATTATAATGACAAAACCACATAAGTTAAGTAAAATATTTTGACTTTCTGTGAATGTATAGAATGTTAGCAACATTTAGGACAATTTTCAGTAAGATATTTAATATAGTCTAGGCTAATAAAAATTTGGCAACAGATTGTGTGTTGCCTATAACTATAAAGTTACTATAAACGATGCTGGTTTGAAATTTTTAGGGAGGTACCCTCTTTGTTAACATAATTTTTAATAATCTTTCACATTCACTCCAATTATTGTTATCTTACTCTTTTACTAATATGATAAGCTTGATCCTAGTGAATTTTCATTAAAAAATAGGCCTACCTGCTAATTAAAGTTTTTTGTTCATGTCCAAAAAAATAGGGAAGAAAAAAATTGGGAAATCCCATAGGCCCTAATAAAAAAAAACCCGAAAAAACTCAAAACTGTCATCTTACCTAAAAGAGCAGCGAATATGCAAAACCTGTTAGGGTTTAAATTCATACATTTTGCTATTTCATCCATTATGTATTCTTTAGTCTCTAATGATCCTTTGTAAGTCAGTTTAAGATTGTTTGATGAGAAGTATCTAGGTGGATCAAATATTGTATAGATGGATTCTTGAGCAATAATACCCTGGAGGCTATGTTCTCTACAAAATCTTATTACTTCTTGGTGATGATCTTCCATTGAACAGGCAATTGTCACACCAAGTTGTCTTAATGCCATTTTGAGTGCTTCTTTTAAATACACAGGTTGATTCCACCATACCTTAGGAGGTGGTGTACCTTTATTTGCTATGTGTCTAAGTACATATCTAACCTTATCACGCTGTGAAAGTTGTTGTGACATCCACTCATTAATTTTTTGATTCTCTAAGGCTCCATTGAAAAAAACAACCAATTCCATGTTTGCACCGTGGCATGCTTGCACTAAGTTGGCAAGAAAGGAAGTCATGCGATTCCACTGACCTCCGCAAACCCAGTCAGAAAAGTATCCACCATACAACCTATCCAAACAGCTTTCGGCATCAACAACAACACAAAATCTTCCGCTAGTTCCTACCTGACCTACTCTTGCAATAGGTCGTCTTTTAGGAACAAATGTTCGTGCTATCTTTAACAAGTCAACTGAAACACAAGCGCTTGCACATTCAGTTTCCAGGAATTCTTGGAAATCTTTAATGCCCATAACTGTTTGCAAACGTTGTCCCAGAGGGGAAATATTCAATTAATTACAATAATTAAATACGAAACTAGATATATAAGCCAACGTTTTAAAAACTTTATGTAAACACAAGTCCAACTCCAAAGTAATAATATACACACGTGTGACACTTCGCCGGCTATCCAACAGTCACGTGATGTATCATTAAAACAGACCCGGATGGTAAAATTGTGTATAACTATGCGCTCTTCGTTAGCATAGGCTAGGCTAACATGTAAAAATTGTATTAGATCTATGGGTTCAATCGTTTTCTCCAACATATTAGTGGCTTGTTGTTATAATAATAAATAATTCTATGTGAATCGATACGTAAATTCTAATTATTAGGGTTTCTTTCGGACATTTTGCTCCGCGGTGGGGAGGCAATTAACACTTCCGGTAGGTGGGGGGGGGACAGTGGCGTAATAACCATGTAGCCAAGGTGGCGTCCACGGGTCCCGGAACTTGATAAGTAGATAAATCGAATGTCTGAAGTCTTGATATTACTTTTTCGTATACAAAGTATAGACAAAGTATCGTAATCGTGCAAAAAATAAATAAATAATCGAGATTTTTGCAAATCTCAACGTTTTACACCTCCCTGCTGGGCCGGCGCTACCAATGAGACGAACTAGGCGGTCACCTAGGGCGCTATCCGGTGCCCTTCAAAACGGCCTGGGACAATTCGGCCCCGTCAAAACGGCCCCGTTAAGATGACCCCCGACAAAACGATTCCGTCAAAATAGCCCCGTCAAAAGGGCCCCGACTTATTGGCTCCCGTCAAATAGGCTCCCGTCAAGTTGACTCGCGACATATAGGCTCCAGAAAAATGGGCTCCCGACATTTAGGCTCCCGACAAATGGACTCCCGACATATTGGCTCCAGACATAAGGGCTCACGACAAATGGGCTACCGTCAAATGGGCTCACGGCATATTGGCTATCGACTAATGGACTCCCGACTTATTGGCTCCCACCCGACAATTGGGCTCCCGACCAGAGCCGGCGTTAGGGGGTGGCAAACTGGGCGGTCGCACCAGGCCCCGCGCTTGAAGGTGTCCCGCGCTTCAGCACTGTCATTGTTGTCTGAATTTGTTTGTAAACTTAAATAATTGTTGCTGAATTCAATTGGGGAAAACTAAATGGTCGAATGCCGACGTTGTTGATTGTTATAAATGAGACCACGGTTGATGTTAGTGAGTTATCACCCACCTGAACTGGGACAGACCGTAATTCGATACAAAAACAGTGTGTGTGCTGGGTACGGTTGCCTCGCATTTGTATGCGGACCGATGAAAACGTCCTTTTAGTTAGTGACCTGATGAACGCTAGTCCTGACTTTCTTGTTGTAGTTGTCATATATGTACTTGTCTTGGTATAACAAAATTAACATTCAGTTGCGTGCAGAGGGGGTGGGAGGGGGGAGAAGGCCATCCATGGGGATCCAAATAAGTGGGGCACTAAATAGAGTGATTTATTATTTTTTTTTGGGAAATAAACCGGGAATCTTCTTCTTCTTCTTCTTCGTTCTTAATTATTAGTGTTGAAGGGGATCGAGATTTATCTGCCAGTGGGTTTGAACTCGAGACTTTGTTCGAATTTATCAACCATGAGCTTTTTGCCGACTCGACCACGCCTCTAACACAATTAAGCGTTACGTGTCAACTGGTTATGCGCCATTGAGGCCATTGACTCCGATTTCAGCCTGCTTTTCTTTTTGGATTTGCTTCCATAGCCTTTGTCCAACCAAGAACAAACTACAAGGCAGCAGTTGTTTAGTTTTGGAGTTGTCTCTCCTAGAAGAGTGGCTGTCCCCAGCTAACGAGCCTCATCTGCCCGAGGGTTCGAACTCGAGACTTTTCGGTTTAGCAACCATGAGCTTTACCGACTCGACCACGCCGACCCCTAAACCGGGAATGATCTCCCCTAAACTTTCTCGAATATTCTTATATAAAACAACAGCGGATGGGAACTCGGGATATAGTTATGATTTTTAATCCATTTTAAATTCTTAAACTTTAAAAAAAAAATTTCATAAAAAACGTTTTAATAACAAGCTTTTATGTAATGATGCACTAAAAAGTAGAAAATAAATTATACACTACTATTTAAATTACTATAAAGAAAAGCGTGGGTCACTTTAGTACTTTAGTACCTATTGGATACCTTTACTAATATTTGAGAAGAGACCCTAGCTTTTCTTTATAGTAATTTAAATAGTAGTGTATAATTTATTTTCTACTTTTTAGTGCATCATTACATAAAAGCTTGTTATTAAAACGTTTTTATGAAAACAAGTTAATTAAAAAGTCTACTGACATTTAAGCGCAATTTCCTTATCTTATGTTATCTAAAAATAGCTCTGTCGTAGCGTAAATCAAGAGCAGGGTTAGTAAAACCATTGGTTAAAATACATGTTTTATTTACAATAGAGTTACATGACTAAAAACCATTGCGCGCCTAGCTACTGAACGTGATGACGCAGCCATTGAACGTGATGGCGCAGCTATTGAACGCGATGACGCGTGTGGTGTGGTTGGATAAAAATACCTACTAATTCGGTCCAAATTTTAATTAATTAAAAAAAATTTTTGTGACCGAACGAAAGGATATTTTTGAAAACTTTCTTCGGCAATATTGTTCTAAATTATGACAGGAATCGATTGGTACATGTTTCAAGTCGCTAAGTGGTCTGGTTGCCGAGATATGGGCCAAAAACTGCATTTTTTCGAGGGTTTTTGGCTTTTCCGGGAAATCCATGAAAGAAACCCGGAATTTTTATGGCCTATGTTCATCTTCTTAACTTGCTTAACATAATTGCTTTCTAACTAGTCGTCGATATTGCTTCGTTGAGGAGGAGATACGACTTAAAGCTGCGGACACACATTCATCCATTCATCCATCCAGAAATGACGGGTTAATAAACGCAATTCTCCAGAATGGAAATTGCGCTAAAAAATTTTAGAACTTTACATGTTTTATTTACAATGGTGTTACATGACTAAAAACCATTGCGCGTCTATTGAACGTGATGGCGCAGCTATTAAACCTGATGGCGCAGCTTTTGAACGTGATGACGCGTGTGGTGTGGTTGGATAGACATGCCTACTAATTCGGTCCAAATTTTAATTTATTCATAAAAAACTAATTAGGCATCCAATTAAGTCAAATTTAGTTTCAATTTGCATTGTCTTCATGTCTTGACCCACGTGTCAAATGTGAATCGTATCGGTCAAGTAGAAGTGACCGAATTTTCACTCCAGCGTTTCGATCTAGACTGACGACAGACTGTCGACTGACGACTGACGACAGAGGAAGTGAGTTAAATAAAAGCTTGTAAAAATAGAATAGAATCTCATAGAAAAAAGAATTGCACACCAAGCGGACGCCAAATAAAGATGTTCATAATAGTGCGCAATATTATTAGTACTTTATAAATTTACATGCGTTTTTTTGGGAAATCGGAAATAGCGTAAATTAGTAGGTCTACTTTCGGTCAACGGAAATTCTGCAATCTAGTCCGTATGTTTGTGTGTGTGTGTGTGTCTGTCTGACTGTCTGTCTGTGTGTAAACACGATAACTTGAGTACCGTTACAACTAGGTTGATGAAATTTAATAAAGTATTTTATCAAAATCGTAGATCCGTATCAACTTTTGAGCGATTTCCAATAACCGGAAGTGGAACTTTTTCTACTTTGAAACTTTCAAAAGCCTATAACTTGAGTACTATTTCAGACAGATAAATAAAATTTCACATGTAAGTAAAAGATTTAATTCTCTGCCTTCTCACAAAACGCATGTGAATTTATAAAGCACCAATAATATTCCGCACTATTATGCACATTTTATTTGGCTTTCACTGTGTGTGCAATTCTGTTTTTTTTCTACGAGATTTTATTCTATTTTAAAAAGTTTAAGTATTTAAAATGGATTAAAAATCATGTCTATATGCTGAGTTGCCATCCCCTGTTGTTTCATATTATAAAATTCGAGAAAGTTTAGGGGAAATTGTTATAACTGGGTTCTGTATGTGTACCGCAGCTATGCCGTGAGAGGGTAGAACTACCTGATCCAATATTATATTTCAGTACCACTACCATTTCATTGTGTCTAGCCATGCAACAGTGCATCTTGAGACACGACGACATCAACGCTTACAAATGATTTGACAGAATGACATTGGTTACTAATTCTATTTATTGCACAACATAACACGAACAAGACTACTTGAAGCTTTTTCCCCGGCAACAACGATCTCACACTAAAACGTCACTTTCTTGCGTACCGCGTCACACTTTCACTCGTTCAATATTATCGCTTCGCACCAGCATTCATGCGCACTAATTTGTCTAGTCAAACATACATCATAACATTACCCCCCTCTCCCTTCATGCTAATCACATTAGCTTTATTAATTAAATCAATAATCCAACATTCTGTTTTACCTAACAATAGCAACTATCGTAGCATTCTCACATAGACCTTAAAGACTAAACAATTTTCACTAATTCTTGAAGTTTCTGTTTAGTTCATGTCTCCGCGCGACAACCATATTTTGACGATTCTGCCAAGTATACGTCTCAGATCACCAGTTGGGTGTACATCCTACACTCACACTTCACGTAAAGGCCAGGATTTCATACAATGTCGATCATATAATAGACCTTAAACATCACATCTGTTCCACTGAAAAGAAATTATTTTTAGGGGAAAACAACATGTTACTACTAATCGGTTATCATTATCTAACATAGTCTCTCTAACCTAATGTATTAGACTTAATCTAATGTAGTACCTCTTCTGTTAATTACGCTACATTATTTATACAATAAATCACATCTCACGTGTTAATTTAGTACTAAGTAATTAAGTAACCACATCAAATTTCATAATTCACTATATCACCTGCAATATGCATCTCATGTTACAATGACATGTACCAATAATAATTCTTAACATCTTCAGTAACCAAATACGATATCACATAGAGGAGTATTTTCCCTAGAACCCCTTAAATCCATAACCAGGTACTCGGTACATCCTCGAGCTACCCACAAAAAAAATCTGACTGCATCCTCAGTCTTGAAATCAACTAACTACCGATGAAGCAACCGACCAACGAACTATACCCCTGCTGGCCGGGTGACGACACCAAATTATCCCAAATCAGCATT